ACTCCTGCATCTTATCTTCTATATGTGTTACTCCCACATTTTGTTTGATTATCTTATTCCTCAAACGGTCTTTTCTGGTATGTCCACTCATCCAACGCAACATATGTCCACTCTCTGCCACACTCATCTTTTGAATGTGGCATTGCTTCACCGCCCAACACTCTACGCCATACATTAATGTAGGCCTAATTGCCGTTCGAAAAAATTTACCCTTCAGTCTAGTCGGCATACCTCGATCGCATAGAAATCCTGAAGCACTCTTCCATTTCATCCACCCAGCTCTGATTCTATGGCATACATCTCTGTCTAATTCATCATCCTTCTGAATTATGGAACCCAAGTAACGAAACATATCACACACCGGTATCTCTTTACCATCAAGTGTAATCTCACTGTTGCTACTACTTCTACCTCCACCAAACTTGCACTCCATATACTCAGTCTTGTTTTGGCTCAGTCTGAAACCCTTGATCTCCAATGTTTGAACAAGGTAGCTATATTGAATATAATTACACACTGGTATTATAAGAAGATAAAACATTGGAGTAGAGAAATTAGCTAGTGTGAGCTTCTTCTTTTTCTCAAATGGATGTGTAAAGTTGATGGAAATGAGGTAGGATGAAAGAAGAATTGCGATTGCCTTGCTCCTAGAGGCGGCCAGGCGGATCTATCCTAAAGCTATGTGGACTCAAGTCTATGCATTCTAAATTTTTCTTAAACTTTTTAATGTATTTTTTTTCTATTTTCCAATTTAGCCTACCCAAAATATTTTGTAAATAAGATTTGGATATTGTTGTTATTGTCCCATTTAGAGCTCGTTTCTTAACACGAAAATCGGCTGATTCAGCTAATTTAAGAATTTTTTTTGAACGAAGCATTTTTTTAAAATATATTTTATTAATAAATTAAAGAAAAAAATATATGTAAAAATAGCTAAATTGATCATCTACAGTAGTTTTAGTCAATACATCCAGAAGAGTAACTTCAACCTGTCATTTTCTTATTACTACACAATTCAGCGCACAGAAACAAAATTTACGTGTTAGATGAAAAATTTGATTGATAAATCTGATAAATCGAAAAACGGTGTTACCAAATGGCTTCTTAGTCTACCCGATCTTATTTTAGACCTAGTATTTACTCCATATATAATTAGTCTTCAATTTAGCCTAACTCTAATTCCTAGTTCTGTCCCCTTTTTAAGTCATTATTATTTAATTCTTTTCAATCAAAATAGCAAAAGGATACCTCCAAAGCAACCTTAGGAGGGTTTGTAAGTAAAGATATGGTCCACAAGGCTTATCCGACAGAAGGTATAATCCTCTCTATATGCAATCCGTACTAAGAACAAAATCAGCATTCATATCTCTTTTGGTTCGTGCAGTGTCCAAGTCCAGGATAGGTTTGGATATGGACATATAGGGACTGCAGGCTTACCGGCCCGACCATAATCATAAATCAATTACAAAGAATTCTTGACAAGATACATACTATAAGATGTGTGAACTAACATTTTATAAGATTGATATTACGTATTTTATTTTAAGTGAAGCAAAAGATAAGCCTGCCATATCTCCAGTCATGGTTCAAATCTAAAGTGACTTCTCTCCCTCAACGCAATCCATCTACTTTGAACTAGTAATTAATTGGCCCAATATGTGACATTCAATCGTTGATTACTGATATTCAAAAGAGATTATGATAGATACATTAATGAGAATAGTATTTGAAAAAGCATGTGTTGGTAGTCTAACGAAGTTTTTAAATGGACTGAATTTCTAGTTTAAGTCGGATCAGGTCCGAAGTGGTCATGTGTATTTACAACTGTCGAAGTATGGTTAGTCTAGTTTGATCTATTTAAATTTGTTTTAGTCTAGTGTAGTCTGAAACTGAAATAAGTTCAAGTAAATTTATCTTTAGTATCATTTATTATTTGATATTTATCTAATAAGAAAGCAATTCACGCAATTTGTTTGTCACGTTTCCAAAAATCACAAATAATGGAAAATATGAAATAGAAAAGAATGAGAGGAAGAATCAATTTATTGAATACCAAATCGATGTTACATTGATGAACAGTGTATTCATACAAGGCGGTGGCTCTCTCGGCTCTCTTACTATGTGAAAATGTCTAGCCTCTTTGCCTACAATTCTTAGGGTTTATGTAAGCATGCACTTCTTATATAGGTAATAGGTAAGGGAGCTTAGCCTACATATTACAAAGTAGTAAATGGGACTAAATAAACGTACACCCATATTAAATAACTAAAGCTATTAGAGTACAAATACAAAGACACAAAATATAATGCTAATTTTCTTAAGATAGTGTACAAACAAATTTGAGGTGACACATAAGAAGGGGTGAAAACCCCAGATGTGAGGTATTCACCCCAAAATAGCTGCAACCCAGACGTTTTTTAGTATACTAAGGTCTCATAGTTAATAGGGAGAACCGACGGGAAGGGTTTTTGAGCGGAGCATTGACTCTCCAGTAGAGCTGAAATGCGCATGTGGGTCATCATTCCAGTGATTGGGCTAACATCTGCAAGAAGAAAGGAATGATCCAAGTTGGTGCGTGGGAATGTGGGATTGACGTGTTCCATTCACCCGGAGAGAATAAGATGAGCCGATGATATATGTGCGCAGGTATGGAAAAATAAATGGCCTCTATACAAATTAAAAATCCCACTTTTTTAAGAAATAGCATAACTTTTTAATTTACGATCCAATGTTTTTAAAAAATATATCAAAATTCATAACTTTTTATGATCTTTCATATGACACCAATATCATATATGTATAAAGTTAAAAAATATGAAGTTTCATCTGATTGAAATCTATAGGCTAAATTTTTTACTTAAGTAGATCCAAATGTTAAAAGCAAGATCTCATGGATAATATTTTTTACATCTTTTGGTTATGTTTTACAAAGTACGTTTGAAACTACAAAAAAAATTAACCTCTAAATTTATTTATTTTTACATCAGGATGTTAGATTTTTTAAATTATAATTATTCGCAAAAAAATATTGATAATTTTTTTGTTATAATTATACAAAAAGGATTTAATTAGAAAAACAATGTGCTGAGTGAATATGTTGACGGTGTTGGGTTGCAGGGAAAAACTTGATTGATTGAATGAATACGTATAAACCGGAGGAGGATTAGATTTATTGACGGGTTGGGTTGCGGTTAGCCTAACTATGCGCCTACCTGAGATTTTACCATAGGAGTGTAATTGCATACAAAACAAATCAAGAAGATAATTAATCATATAACGTATATAAGGGGGAGAATAATCACTATATATATATATATATATATATATATATATATATATATATATATATATATATATATATATATATATATATATATATATATATAAAAGGTAGAATAATCACGAATATACAACGGATTCTTCATGTGTTTTTAATAAATTTCTTGAATTGATTTCTTATAAATTTCAAAGAATTTTTCATAATTTCTTAGTAGCGTTTTTTCTTCTTCTAGAGGTCTATGTTTATATCTCTCTCAAATGAGACCGTATTTATAAATATGGATGAAACGGGATATGCTTTGAGGATTCTTAGTCTCATCCATATCTAGAAATTTGAATGAAATTTGAACTTCATTTACTCTTACATTCACAGCTAGAAAAAATCAGCATTCGTGTGATGTATGTGACCAACTTTCTTAACATGATTTGTAGCTATTTTTAATGCATATGGATGAATGTTTTTTTTACTAAATTCGTTCTCCTTTTCATAAATTGGATCATGCCTCTCATATATTAGCTACTATTTATTATTGGGCTGAAAATAGAAAAATTAATATGACTGGTCCATTTTTTAACAGCTCATATTATAATTAGATTAATTGAAGATTCAAATAATCCAATATACTTTAATCACTAAATTTATCCAAAGAGATGGATGGATACTATTACTTTTCTCTTGATAAAGGCTCAACCACTATCATGAATAGCCAATAGGATTTCAAATTGGCCAAATGTGCCATTAAGATGAAACCTAATAAGATAAGATTAAGAACCGCCGGTAACATTTTAAAAAGGCCTAATGATAATCCCAATGCTCTTGTGCTTAATTTGAAGGGCCCTTTGATTTATAGAAAACCCACTAATTTTAAATGACCATGGACCTAAGAACTAATTCTATGAGAGTATGCGAAGTTGGGTTATCTTCAGAAGTTCAAAGGATAATTCTATATACATCCCCTTTTTTACTAAACACAGCCACTGAATTAAATAAAAATAAATAAAAATAAATCAAATATCTAATTTACCCTTAGTTGATACCTGACGATCTTTTAAACGCAGCCCCTTAAGTGATCGGCTCCTTGTTACTCGAAGAAAGCATTAAGCGCAGAACAGAGGCCTGGGAAGCTTAGCGCACAGCTTAACGCAGACCTGGGAAGCTGAGCGCAAACCTAAAACGCAGAAAGCAAACTAGTACGAAGGGCACAGCGCAAACCTGATATACAGAAACACAAAGTCTCAAGAGCAGTCTGGGAAACACAGAAAGGAAGGAAGAAAGCAATAAATGAAGAAAGCCAAAAACTAGTATCCCTAATTCCACATGACGTGAGTACAATATCATTCCACATGACTTTCCATTACTAGAGATAATTCCACATGATGTGAGTACAATATCATCAACCATTCTTATATGATAAAAAAATCATCAATCATTCTTGCATGATCATTCATCCTTGTTCCTTTTGAGTTATGACTAACTTTATTGTCTACATAGTACATGATTGATCTCTCTTGTTTGTATATTAATATTGCTATGTAATATAGTGGGGCAATTGATTACCTTAACTAGTAGCCAACTTTCAACGGTATACAGATTAAACATAGAAAAAAAATAGGGCCAGCCCAGCTGCCCAGGGCAAGTGTAGGCAGCCCGCTCGCACATGGCCCATAATTTCCAAGGGCCCAAAATGCGAACTCATTAGGTAGTTCAAAGACATAAATTCCTTAATTCCTTAACTAAATCTATTGTAGTTAAATCATCCACAAATTACACTAACAACAATATTCTACTGAATTAGTTGTTATACTCCCTCCGTCCCAATTTGTTTTGCAAAGTCAATATTTTTTGGTCAACCAATAATAAAAGTCAACCCTTCATATGGATAATTAATTCAATTTTTAATATTTAAATTTTACATATTCAAAAACTATATTAAAATCTTTTCAAAATTGTAAAGTCCAAAAAAAAAATTAATTAAAAAATGACATCCTAATTAAGTGAACAAAACGAGACTGTTTGACTAAGAAAAGTCAAATTTGCAACTCTTTTTGGGACGGAGGTAGTAGTTGTTATCGATCGCGTATCTGAATGAGTTCTTCTCCAAAACTAAAAATGAAGAACATGGAGCACATGGTTTTCCATGCACAAGTAAAGGATGATGATGAACAAGAAATTGATAAATTTCAGGTAAACCATTTTAATGATGACAATTCGTGTTAATTTGATATCACTCTAATTGAGTTGTTTATGCGAAACAGAATTTTAGTGGTGAAGATATGCCAGATTCAAGCAATGCCTTTGGAGCATTTCATATTGATAAAGTGAGTAAAAGTTCTAGTTTTGTGTAACCAAGGAAATTAAGAACATGTATACGAAAGGAATTTCAATGAATTTATATGACAGGTGTTTACAAGTAAAGATGAATTGCTTACATGGGCCAAATAAATCGGGATAAATCTAGGTTATGTTATTGTGATTAGTTCTTCTTCAGCTAAAAACAGTGTAAAAAGGCCAGACTACGTCTTGGTTGTGAGCATGGAGGAGCTAATAAGAATCCTAAGAAAGCAGAAAGCAACGAAGCATTATCTCGTAAGAGGACAGGAACAAAAAAATGGTTGTCCATTTTTGTTGCAAGGCGTAAAATTAGAAAAAGATGACGATTGGTCTATAAAAGTTCTCTGCGACCTTCATAACCATCCTCCTGCTGCACAACTTGAAGGCCCCTCTTTTACTGGAAGATTAAGTAAAGATGAAGAGACTATACTGTTAGATATGACGAAGAATATGGTAAAACCGAGAAACATATATACTAATGACAATAAAAGAGAAGAACGAGAAAAATACTACTACGATGAAGACAATATATAATGTTCATCAAAAACATAGAAGGATTGAGAAAGCTGGAAGATCACAAATGCAACAACTTATGAAAAGATTAAATGATTATAAGTATGTGGAATGGCATAGGAGGAATGAGTCAACTGATTGTTTGACTGACTTATTATGGGCACATCCTGCTTCTATTAATATTTTACATGCCTTTCCATTGGTGTTGCTTATGGACTGTACCTACAAAACCAATCGATATGACTTTCCAGTATCGACACCAGTTTATGTGGGTGTGTCAATGCTTATGGCACATCTTGAACTTAATTCTGATTGAGTATGAAAGAGCAACTACGGTTGGTGTCGACGCCGGTTTATGTGGGTCTGTCATGAGAAGCACACATGGCTTGCCTTGTGCACATGAAATTGTGGAACATGTCAGATGTGCTCAACCCATTCTAATATTAGATATTAATCCTCATTGGATGAAATTAAACTTGCAAAAACATCAAGAAGGTGAAGCCTCAGGAGTTGCTTTTGGAGTGTGGGCAAGATCTCAGGAGTGTGTCGCTTTGTAAGTGTTGAGGATACAAAAGAACTGCCCAAACTCACTACCTAATAAAAGAAATGTCAGTTATTAGTCTCCGGGTGTTTATAAACCTAACATGTTTCATGAACCAAAAAATGAATGAATCCTTCTTATATAAGCTATAGATTCAATGACATCAAAGACTAATCAATGATTAATTAGCATTTCTACCTAAATGTTCCTCTAGTGAGGAGATCAGTGGTAGCATGACACCAAATCATCAAGCATTCCTGCATGATCACATGGAAATAGGGACAATAAAGATTAAGATAAAATGCTTATAAAAGTGGACAATAAAGCTTTGTTTCATCCTTATATCCTTTCGAGTTATGAATTACTTTATTATCTATGTGATTCATCTCTCTTGTTTGTATATTAATATTGCTATATAGAAAGTGGGGCTGTGGTGCAGTTTATTATCTTAACTAGTAATATAATGGAAATCAATGTTTTCCTTGTTAGAAAAATGTGTTAAAAATTGCATTAAATGATCAATTTGGGGCAATTATTTGAGTGGGGTCCACTTCCTATTTGGGTCGGGTCAAAGTGGTTTCGGATTTTCCTTGTTAAGGGCTACAATTCGATATGTGGTACACTCAAAACGGATAACGGGTGAATGAGAAATTGATTCTCGAAGTTCACTCGTTGAAATGGAAAAACTGGGAAAATGACGAGTTTCTAGTGTTTTTTATCCCACACTGGAAAACTCAAGGGATTTTCACCCCCTTATAAAGGGAAGCCTCTTTTAAGGAGTTAAGATTCCTAAAGGTAAAAGCTCTCTCTTACGCGCAGGGGGGGGGGGGGGTGCCGATCCAATCCCGAAACAGAGAAGAAAAATCGCGACTCGTGTGCGCAAGCGACCTACGGACACGAACGCCGTCCGAAAAATCTATCATTTGCAACAGAGACGCTCGAGGTCTTCTATTCGCAACAGAAGGCCTTCTGGTCCGTTACAGCAATAAATGCCCAACGTTCTTGTCTTTTAATGCTGCGTTAAATGGACAGTTTATGGACGATTCAATGCCCAACGGACTGCTCATTCATGTCCAACGTTCAAGTCCATTAACACCCCATTTAACACACAACAAATCCTCCTATAAAAGGTTGGCAGGTGCTTTGCAACAACACACTACATTTCTCACGTTTTCTTGAGCTAAAAACACTTCCAGCTACTCCAAAATTTCCTAAATGTTCTGCTATTGTTCCAGTTCGCCGAGACTTTCGTTTGTTTGCTCAAAGGATCGTTGGTTAGCCACCATATCCTGGGAAATGGTCGTTGCAACGCTCCTAGCACCGTGGGAGGCGACAAATACGTTTTAAGGATATCGTGCGTAGCACGAGCTCTGGCTAAAATCTGCTCCATCTTATTTCAATTTTTCTTTAGCTATTTTATTAATTAATTAAATATTTTTATTAATTAATAGTTCTTCGTTTTTCCGAAACACACCCAACATTCCTTCACCCCTCAAGTTGGTTGTTCATGTAATTTTCCAAAAATAAAAGGCAAAAATCTGCTCTATATGACAGCTTTTATTTAACTGTTTTTATATAACTTTTACCATGTTAAGTTAAAAGATTGCACCTTGACCAAATACAGTCTTGGGGGAGGGGGGGCAGCAGTGCATTGTTTTATCTATACCAAGCCTGTGTATATAGTGTGTGTGTGTGTTTATATAAATCATTCACATCATATTTAATCCAAATGGATTCACTCATATCACTTTTACATCAAGAAGATATATTCTTGATGATCTCACATCTTTTCCATGCCATCCAATACTGATAATTTATTTCCTTGGTGTATTTGTTCATAAAGTAATAATTACTTTTATATTTTTATGAGGTGTGAGTCGTGTGACCGTGTGTGTGTGCTTTTATAAGTTACCAGTTGTACAAAATGTAGGTGGCTGAAAAGAAGAAAGGTATTTCTGATGAAGCTGGTGCCATCTTAAAGACTAAATTAAGACAACTTACCCCTACAACACAGAACAAAAAAGAACTTGCAACATCAACTAACAAGCAAAAACCACACCCCAACTCAAACTAAGAATTTAATGTCCATAAAATAAAATATTGGATGATGTCCACGATGAAAGATGCCTTTTCAACATAGTTGTTGGTATGTTACTACACATCAGCGACAAACAATCAAATCCTTATCACAATTCACAACTATATATACTTTTAGGCAATTATATTGGTCTTTATCACATCCTTTTAAGTAACTAGGAACTCAATCAATTACTGCAGTCAAACAAACTATAAAAAGCTCTTTGATTAAACCAATTTAGTTGCTTTAGCCATTTCAACACCCACTAGACGGGTTCTATATCACTTTCACTCCATTTCCATTGTATTCCAAACAAGAAAGCGTCATTTTTTTTATAAATCTCTCTGCAAACATCCACTCCTTGTTAATGACACCATGATTATAAGCATGTTTAACATAACTTGACATCTCAATAAAGTGTCTTAATGTTAGCCGTTACTTATTATTATTATTATTATACGTTCCTTATTATATTTTCTGTACACATTTATTTTGTAATCAATTTCTTTTAAATAGTGTACAAAATAGAATAGGATACTCTTTTATTCTTTCCTTATTTTTCCGCTGCAGTACTGCTTTGTTGTCACGTCTGCATGCGCCATTTGTATATATGGGAGGCATCCCACTTTATGGACGACGGAATATAGAAAATATCTTTCCATATTATTAGTTCTTTGACATGGTATCAGAGCGTGATTCTGGGACTGTTTGAACACACAGAACGTGACTGACGATGGCCGGAGAAACTGGCTCCGGTGAAGGAGGTCGCGAGCAAGGTGAGCGGAGAAAAATTAATGATCCCTCCTCACCTTACTATTTGTCCAGTTCTGATTTTCCAGGACTACACATATGCGCGGTTGTTCTCAAAGGTGAGAGCAACTATCGAAAATGGGCCACAGCGATGAAGAACGCATTCCGTGCAAAACGGAAACTGGGGTTTTTGGATGTAACTATTAAACGACCCACGAACAACGAAAGGGACCTAGAAGATTGGCACACCGTCAATTCCATGGCGGTGGGTTGGATTATGACTTCAGCGGATCCAGCTATACGATCAAATCTGGCCTATATGGACATCGTATGTGACTTGTGTCCTACTGAACTCCCTGATCATAAGAATAGCCCTGAAATTCCTAAACGCATTAAGTTTTTGTTAGATTATTCCAAAACTCTCAAAGAAAGGGACTTTTATTCTTGACCATCCACTATTCACCACCGCCTTTACAAGTCCTTCTGATCAGTAGCTAGTTCATCGGTGTTTGCTGCCATTACTTCAAGGATGTTGTGAATAATTTTGTCATTGAAGTTAGCCAGAGTACAAAGATGTAGTTTAGGGAAGAATTTTCTCGATTTAGTCTTTCTGTTCCGTGAATATCCTTTTAACTACGTGTGCATGCTAATTGTTTTAAATTCCCTGTGGTGATTATCGTAACTCCCGTTGTTCAGTTTGATTGAGGAAAAGCAAAAGCTTAAGTGTGGGGGGAATCTGATAAGTCCGTATTACAACACGCATTTGATGCGTGTTGGGATTGGTTTTTGATGTTTTTCCTAACTTTTAGGTGTCACAAATCTCAATTTTAGCTCAAGTTATGTGTACCAGGCGTTGGTTCGAGTTTTATGTTGTTTGGAGTCAAAAATCAGGTAAAGTAGATCTGGCATCGGCACTTGAGAAGAACTCAAGAAGAGTTCATGAGCTTTCAAGAGAGTTTCGAGATTTTTGGAGGTCTCCAAGAGGTTCACGGTGAAGAAATGATGAAGAGAAGACCTTTGGGATCGATTCAGAAGCATTCAGAAGCGTTTGGAAGAAGAAACGAAGAAAAACAATGAAGAAAAGGTCACGCATGGTCGTGCCCAGAATTCAGGCACGCCGTGCGTGCCTATGTGATGATTAGGCGACGGAAAAGGGCCAGGCACGGTCGTGCCTGGGAGATTGGCACGTCGTGCTTGTAGTATTACGATTTGCATTTTCCTTTTGTAACCAGACATGGGAGTAGGTTTTTGGGCAAGTTTTCTGCTTCATACTGATCAATGTTCAGCCGGTCCATCAACAACAAAAGTCTTAGGAATGGGGCTTTTGCTGCCCCATTACTTTCTACTTCCTCCCCTAATTTTAGTACAAAGTTACCTTATTTTTATTTTATTTAATATTTAGTTATTATAAAGTTTAAACTATTTTAGGATGTCATTGATAATCCAATACAAATTACATCTTTCACCATTTATTATAAACAACCATTAAAAGGGGAAACTCATGTTATGTACATATTTAAAAGTTGGAACTAACTTTTTTAGGAATTTTTCCTATATTTATATACATGATCTTAATAAATAAATAAATAATCTACTTAAAATTTCCTATAAAAAGTACTAACTATATTTATATACTTACATAAGAAATATAATTATAAATAATCAATAATGGATTGACTATTTCATTTTGTGGATTAACTAACTCAGCTCATGTTAGTGTGCGTTCAAATGTGGATCAAACATTAATACTTATCCAATTCACACACGCGCGCACACACACAACACACACAATATTATATTATATACACGGTGTTCTCTTTAATATAGAAATAAAAAAGTTTGATGGATAATCGTCTTTTTCCGGTGAGTAATTTAATTTTAAAAGATTAAAATTTTGTCATATTTGACTTATAATCTAATTTTTCGTTATGGAGTACTAAAAATTAAAATATGCTGAATGTTGTTGATTAGTAGTTGTAAAATTTTACAATATGAGTGTAACACCGTCCCCAATTATATTTAGTTTTATGTAAATCTTGTATTGAATCTTATTAACTGGTTAATGAATTTACGAGGTTGTAAATTTTTGTTATTACTTTTGCGTGAATAGTGAATTGCACGTGGGGCCCACATCGGAAGTGGGGACCACCCTACATTTCCGAAACCACATATTATATTCATATTGGTCTAGATAATATGTATATGGTGGTGGATATTTTAATCGGGCCATGGAAAGGACATAGGGTTGACCGGTCGGTCAAACAATGCCCAATTACCAGTATTGGGGATTTATCGGATAACAGTTCGAAATGAATTTCGGAGACATCCAAATTAAAGTTGAGGAATGTATATTTATTCTAAAAGCCAATAGGGGTTGAGAATGTGTGATATATTTTATTTAGCCCGATAAAATAAAATATAATTAAAACAATTCGAGAGATACAACTTTCGGGACCGATTGTTTATTTCGGGACATAAACGGATGACCTCTCACATGACTGGGTGCCACCCCACTTTTTTGTGCTCAAATGAACAAGAAAAGATGGGTGGTTGATGATAGATGGGATGTAGAGGGTTGACCTTGAGAGGTTTGGCATCTAGGTGGGTCATGGGGGCCTCCTCCCTCACTCATTGCCCTATTGAGACAACAAAAATGATGTTTGTACACACTCTTATACACACTTTTGTACACACCTATGTCTGTGAAAGCTTTTTTTTTGTCTGTGAACATTGATTCACAAACAATGTTTTGCACAAACAAAATATTGTCTGTGAAACGGATTCATAGACAAAAAAAAGCTTCACAAACATGGTGTGTATAAGGTGTGTACAAGGGTGTGTACATCAAGAATGGTTGTTGAGACAAAGAGAGTCTCAATCTCATTCCTCTCCATCACCAACTCGACCAAGCCCCTCAAAGAAAGAGAAAAACCTCTTCAAAGCTTCATTCCTCCATAGCTAAGTGAGCTCAAGAAGACAAGGTCCAAGGAGGAAGATTAAAGAAGGAAAAACATAGGAAAAATGTGAAGGATTAATGTAATGACCTCATAATAACTTTTCCTCTACTCCTTAGCTATCATATGACTTATATAGCATATGAGGAACCCCTAGGCTTGTTCTACATGTTTAGAAATGTAGAATGAGGGGTTGGAAGGTAGTTCTTGTTGAAGATCATTTAATTGTGAGTCAAGTTTGTCATCTATCTTGTAATAGATTAGCTTTATTATTATTCCTTGTATTAAATAAGTGCATTGATTAGATAGAATATGGGCCAAGTGTTAGGCCCATACAAATAGGCTAAAAGCCTTTCACGCCTACCTGAACCTCGCCTATAAAAAGGGAGCCGAGGGTTCAGGATTAGGTTAACTTTCGTACTTGTTCATTATAGCCTTAAGCACAAATCTTTCTGTGTACGAGTTCACGGTCTATCAAAGAGGGTTTTACATCGATTCATCTATGTTCATCTTTACGTTTAATCTTCTTTGTTAGACTGCTATTCATTGCTGTTACAGAAACATGGACTATCAATTGGTATCAGAGCCGATCCAGAGCCGATCAGAAGAACGCCTGCAAAAGACTCTGTTTTTCTTTACGTGGTTCTTTCTGTCGATTTGTGACTCTGTAATCTTGTTTCTTGTTAAAAAGTTGTAAAAGTTACACCCTTAGAATCGTCGTTTCGAAGCGATCAAGGGGTATACTTCAGATTTCGTTTTTCGCAATTCCTGTACTTGAGATATTTCGAGTAGCAATATCGACATCTAGGTTTTAAACAGGTTCTGCCAAGTATTTCGAGCTGAAAACTTCACCTGAGGATCTCGACATCATACTCTACAAGAAACTACCTTCAGATTTTGCTTATCTGATTTTTACAGATTGCAGGATTTCGACATTGAGGATTTCGACATCTATATCTCGAGATCAAAGATTTCGAGTTTAAGGTCTCGACATCTGGTCTCGACATTTGACTTCTCGAAATAAGATTTCGAGTTTAACTTCTCGACATCTCAAATCTCGAGATCTTCATCTCGACATTTGAAATCTCGAGATCTTTAATCTCGACATCCTAATCTCGACATCAAATCTCGAAACCGGGCCTCCTTTATCAAAATCCCAGATCTCGATATTCAGATCTCGACATCTGATTTTCGACATTCTGCCTCTGAAAATCTTTTGATCAATTATCTCGAACGGTCAGTTTATACAGCAATGGCCTCAGAATACAATGCCCAAGGGAACAACAGTACTCCTCCCAGTCTCAGGAAAGGAGAATACCAAATGTGGAGAAATCGATTCCTTAATTTCCTTGAGCACAAAGAAAAGTCCGCTGCTATGCTTGAATCGTTGCTTGAAGGACCAACTGAATTGATGATTTCAGTTGGTGGTGATCCAGAAAACAACCCACCTATTCTTCCAGAAATAAGAAGGAAAGTGGCATCTGAATATACCGAAGCTGACAGGCTCAGGCTTCGAGGTGATCTTATGGCCAAGACGTACCTACTTCAAGCAATCCTAACGAAGTATATGTTCTCATCGATAGCATGCAAACAGCAAAGGAAATGTGGGATGAGATAGAGAAACTGCTCCAAGGCACAAGCATTAGCCTTAAAACCAAGAAGACGACAATTCTTATTGCTTATGACTCCTTCAAAGCAGGCCCAGGAGAACCATTGAACGAGACTTACAACAGACTCGTCCAACTGGTCAATGAACTTAGAAAAATCAAAGTATTCAGGTCCAACTTGGAACTGAATATAAGATTTCTATCCAGCCTGCATCATGCATGGGAAAAGACAGTGAAGGATGTTAGATCTCGCATTGACTGGGATGAAATTGACCTCTGCATTCTCTATGAACATTTGAAGCAATTTGTCAATGAGGTTGCTTGTGTCGAGGACCATCACAGCACAAATCCCCTGGCTCTAGTGATGGAAGCTCAGCCCCGAAGGACAACCACATCACTAAAGAAGAAGAAGAAGAAGAAGGTGGTGGTGGTTGAATCAGACGATGATGAAAGTGATGACGACAAATCTGATCTGGAAGCTGAGCTTGCAGACTTACAGAAAAAGATGGCACTGCTTGCCAAAAGATTTGCAAAGAAGAACAGCTCCTCCAACAAGCAGAGAACCTCCTCCTCAAACTACAAATAGAAGAACCATGAACAAGGATCTTCTAGAAAGGCGCCATCAGCTGAAGATGCTCTCAAATGCTACAATTGTGGAAAGGCTGGACATGTCATCAAAGACTGCCGCCTCCCAAAGAAGAAGGATGCAAACTTCTACAAGCAGAAGATGCTGTGGAATAAGCAAAAAATGCTGATGGTGCAGAAAGAAGAAGAAACTTCTGCAATGATTGCTGAGAATGATAACTGGGCACAAGACACTTCTGAAGAGGAGGAGGAGGAAGAAAACCATGCCCTGATGGCACGAGTGGAGGAAAAAGATGAAAGAAAGGGTGATGTTGCGATCCCCGAAAGTGAATGCTCAACAAGCTCTGTAAGTACCTCTCATACTCCTTTAAATAATCAAAATCAGTCCTTACTTGAGAAGGACAATCTAATTAAAGAACTAAAAGAGAGATTAGACAATAATCACAGGGTACTGAAACAGAATCTAGACCAAAAGTCTTCTCTAAGTGTTCAACTTGAAATTGCGAAAGATCAGGTCAAAAAGGTGTCCTCAGATTTTGAAAGGTTTGAACTTAAGATAACTGAATTAACTAGGAAATTTGAGGATAGTGAACGAGAAAAAAGCACGGCAAAGGCTGAATGCGATTTTTTGCATAATAAGAGAAGAACACTTCTAAATAAAATAAAAGAACTAGAGGATCTAGCTGCTAAGAGAGGTCAGTCTGAACAGACAATTTTTCTTAATCGAATAAAGGATGATCGATTTTACAATCCTAGAATAGGACTGGGCATAACCAACCCATGTAATCTTAAGAAAGTTAACTGTCTTCAAATCTATAACAAAGATTACATGGGACTAGGGTTTGGTGAGAAAATGTACTTTTGAAGTGATGATGAAAACGCTGAAGCAGAAGAAGAAAAGAGAAAGAATCCTAAAGCTGCGATTTCTTGTGATTATCCCTCTGTAAATGAAAAACAACTTTCACAAGAAAAATCTAGTTCATGCTTTGGTGAATGTCTTGACCCCTATGCAAAAGATATTCCACACATAGGACATCCTCTGGACCCACTCCCAAGAGTAGGTATCTCTAAAACTGGAGAGGAACCTTGTATTTTTCC